CTTGGATCAAGAATTGATAACTCTATTCAGAAACGTTCTGGGATTCGACAAAAATGTGTTAAGGTGTAAAGGAACAAATGTGGCCGAGTCCCAAAAGTGGGCGGGGTTGCCACTAAAGTGGGCGGGACTTAGATAAAAAACTATTAAGTCTCTATGATGCGTTTTCGAACGCGGGAAAAAGGTGTCTGGAGGTAGTAAAAGTAATGTGGTTCGATGTCTGAAGTGGATGGGGTTTGCAAAGAGAGGGGCGGGGCTGAGATCAAAAACTTATACATCTGTCCTTCACACCAACCCTGACCACGTAGGTGTCAGGGTTGGTGTGGAGGACAGACTGGGGGATACCACTGGAGTCTTTCAAAAATTAGGCTAAAAATTTTCTTAAAGTTAGTGTCCATGGTTCCACACATACTTTTCCCTTCTACACAAGAGCAAATGCACTACATTAACTTCAGACCTTATGAAATAAATTCTTCAATAACCCCGGTCACACAGGTGCATACTCTGTAGAGACGTGTAAATCCCCACGACTACCCAAAGGAGCTGTCCTTTCAGAGTTGGTATTCATGGCCATACAGCCCCATTTCACAGGGGTACTCTTCATGACCACACACAGCCCAAACCAAACAGAATTTCGTTCACCGCATGGACTGCAAAGGTATTTGATTTGGATATATCAGCTCTTGAAAACAAATTCTTGAAGACCTCTACAGTAGCTCCGACCACGCAGGTGCATACCCTGTAGCGACGCGTAAATCCCTAAAACTTCCCGAGGGTACTGTCCTCTCAAAGATAGTGTTCATGGCCACACACAGCCCCATTTCACAGGACTACTCTTCATGACCACACACACCCAAACCGGAACATTTGTTAATTAGGATCCAAAAAGGTTAGAGTTATTGCTTCATTAATCCCCTTGCTGAAGAATATTGTGTATGCAGAAGTGTTGCTTTGATAAATCGCATGTTCCAAAATCAAGTATTATGTATGCCATGTTAATACTCCAGCCGAGCTGGACAAACTTTTCTGTTGCACATCAAACACCCTTCTTGGATTGCTTGCTGGTCATTCCGAATCTTCGTGATCTAGCGAAAACATTCCATGCTTCCCATGAGACAAACAATGATGCCCGCTACACAAGTGTCACGGAAGAGGCTCAGATGATAAAGGTCTGTAATGAAATCAAAAGCTCAGGTAGCTCTGCCCCTTATGGCTAGAGCCCCCAGCGCACGCGATAGCGTGCGTAGCCGTCTGGTATTGGATGCCTGAATGCCTCACTTTTGTTTTTGTGCAGATTGCACGCAGTCAGGTGCCTAGGTATACACTAGTGCGAGCAGTGGGTGTGAGATCTCCACCTCGAACGGCGTGTCGCGCTCGCTGCATCCGCCGCATATCGCACAAATGCATGGTTGATTGGAGTGCGCAATGTGTGAGTCGAATTTGCGATCGATGGTTGGATGTCCTCGTGAAACCTCATTTTCCTTATAAAACTTCTACTGTTGAGTTACTAACCAAGGCGACAGGAAACAAGAAGAAACTAGAAAAAATAATACGGTAGTTGCAGTTGAAGCCCCAAGACAGTTCAAAAGATTGAGCGCATGTGGTTCAGCTAACGTGGGGAATCTTATAGAAGTTCCGTCAACAGTGAGCAGTTGGGCCCAAGAACAAGTCAATGTTCAGAAGAAAATTCCAAGGTGAAGGCCTAGAAAACTTCTAACTCCTAGAAATTGCTTATTACTTCACTACAGAACGTTTTATGCATCATCTCGTTGCGCGCCTTATTTATGTTTGATGCGCTTTCTAAAAACTTTACTTTTATGTGTATACCATTCGAACGTCATGACGACTATGAATGGAAGCAGAATGTGCTGCATTCTAAACGTGATTGATAACATTTAAAAACGTTATGGTTTCATCTAAGTTCTACACAGCAGAGGAGAATTCAATGAGATTCAAACCCGTTGAGCCAAAGAGCTTACCTCTCGAGACTCTGCAGATTCTGTTCGATTTCGGCATTTACATGGCCATTCAAGCCCACCGGGCAAAACTCCGCTCTCTTCCAATTCGTATTCACAGTAGCCGTTCTCCTTACAAGATGGACAAACGTGGTCGAACCACACACTGGGAATAGTACATGACTACCCAGTTAGAAGTCAAAAAAGCGGTCAACATGTGTGACGGAAAATTTTGAAAAGGAATAATCTTACCTCATATTGAAGCATGGCCACGCTACCATGAAATCTCGATCATATGTGCAAACACATTTCGAATTCTGAAACGGTGACATTCATAAAAGTCGCAAACGTTGACTTCTCTTCATATAAAAAAGAGCCATGCATTTAGCAATAATTAGGCTCATGCAGAAAAATAAGTGGCCGCTGCTTTGAAGTTCAACAGCCACATTCTTCCGAAAAGTCACAGTTTGCTAATTCCTGTATCACCTGTCGTCCCGTTGATCGTCGATTCTCTCGAGCGGGCGCTAGTGACGTCTCCATTCGTCCCTGTCATGAGCCAGAGTGGTCCAAGAATCGCTCCAGGGACGCGAAGTCCAACATTCTTTTCGTTCAAAGCTTTCGTGAAGAAGTCTGACCATCTCGTTGGCGGCCGTCCTGGAGTTCGTTTGATGTCCCGAGGGATCCCGACAGTGACCGCCCTGGTCCAACGGTCATCCCTATATCGCATAACGTGGTCGACCCACATGATCTTCGATTTCTTGGCATAATCAGCGGCATTCCTGGTCTTCGTTCGACGACGGAGCTCGGAAATTCGGATTCCCTTCCGCACTTGCTTGTAAAGAGGAATTCCGAGCATCGCCCTTTCCAAAGCGCGTTGAGTAACGCTGACAGCATGCTCCTCCTGCCTTCGTGGAATCCAATTCTCCGAGGTGTACGTCAAAGCAGGAAAAACAGCAGTGTCGAAAAGGTGAGCGCGTAGCCCGATGTTCTTTGTCTTCTTCACTACTACCCCGATATTCTTAGATGCTCCCCACGCGGCGCGTTTCCTTCTGCACAGCTCTGGAGCTAGGTCGTTCATAATGTTGACTTCCTTACCTAGATACACATAGCTAGAGCATTCGGAGATATTCTTTCCGATTAGCGTGAAGGAAGGATCAGGTACCAATCCGTTTCGCATGAATATCGTCTTCGTTAAGTTCAGTCTGGAGCCGATCTTTCCCCAAGCACTGTCAAACTCGGCCAGCATTCGTTCCGCCTGCTCGGTGTTCGGTGTTATAAGCACAATGTGGTCTGCAAAGCGGAGATGATGTAGGTAGCGGCCGTCGACTTTCACTCCCAAGTCTTCCCATTCCAAATGACGCATGATATTCTCGAGGGCGGCACTGGAAAATTTGGGCGAAATGGTATCGCCCTGCCGGACACCTCTTTTTACGTCGATAATGACTTCTTTGTAGAATGGTGGAATCCTGGCCATGAAGTTGGCTCACGAAGCATCTCTATTTATTGAGTAGGAATGCCCTAGTTGGCCAGGGTTTCAGTTACCGCTTCTGTCTCAACGGTGTCGAAAGCTTTCTTCAAATCGATGAACGTAAGACATATCGGCTTTCCGTGCTCTCGTGATACTTCAGTGAGTCTTGTAAGAGTGTGGATATGATCGATTGTACTGAACCCTCTTCGTAACCCTGCTTTCTCGCATGGCGGTCCTTCATCAAATATACTGCCAATCCTGTTCAGGATGACACGAGTGAAAAGCTTGGAGATTACAGACAGCAGGCAGATTGGGCGATAATTGCCAATATCGTCCGGATCTCCCTTTTTATACAGCAACACAGTCTTGCTAGTTTTCCACGACGTGGGCACTTTGCATTCCGACAGGTACCGCGTGAAGAGCCTAGCCAGAGTTCTGACGATGAGTGGTGGAAGACTGTTCAGATATTTTGGTTTGATCCTATCGGGACCGGGCGCCGTACAAATCTGCATCGACGTGATTTCGGAAGGGAGAACCGAAGCAGCGATATATTCGTCTTGCCTGAGATGGTGGGTAGGCAGGTAGACGTGGTTGTCGAAGAGACCTTGGTAGAAGTCGTAGATGACCTTTTTCATTGCACTTCAGGATGCAGTAACTGTTCCGTCAGGACGACGGAGGGAAGTCATCGTGGTCTTGTAAGTGGCGAAGCTCCGTCGAGCTTTGCGAATGCTCTTTCCGGCCTCGGCGGCTTCGTCCATGACTGCTGCTCTTCTCTCTTTCAGATCTTCCTTTATCGCATCTCTGCGTAGCTTCGCGAGTTCGGACGTTTGTTGATAATTCCCTGTAGCTCGCGCAATATCACGCTGGCGTAACAGCTCGAGAGTCTTCGAAGAGGGCCGTCTCTTGGTTTCTTGTAAACTCTCTGCTTTCCTAGCGCTATCGTGAAGATGTTCGACGAGCCGATTGTACTCTTCATCGATGTTGTCCATAACGAAATCTTCCCATTCACTCGCAACGGAAGCGAAGTGGTCCGCAGTTTATGGAGGTCTTGGGGCATCGGTTCCTTAATTTCACAGTTCTCTCTCCACGCACTGAGAAGCGGAATCTAGCGCTGAGGAGACGATGGTCCAATCCCTTGTAAAACTTCGGAACAACAGCGACGTCAGTCAGGCAAAAGATGATGTGGTCTATTTCATGAAATGGAACTGTCCACCACGTGGCTCTCATGTCCATCGTAAATGAGAGGGCTCCTAGAATTGCGAGTTACCATAGATGGTATGGGTCGACATGATGAACACGGATAACTTTTCACCCTGCTGATTCCAATCCATTTCGTGGGTCCCGATGTCAAAATCCTCCTCAGCCGTTCTTCTGGGGCCACTCTTGGCGTCAAAATCACCGACGATGATCCTGAAGAAAGTGTGATCTCCTCTGTAGAGCCTTTCCAGATCCATACAAAACGCCTCCAAATCCTCTCCTTAGTAGCTTGATGTTGGTGCGTAGGCAACGTAGATGGTTGAAGTTGGGGTTGAGCCACATCTTCTTAATCGCAAACGTCCGATTATGGTTGCCAAGCTGTCTTATGAATCGATGTTCATGGCCAAGTGCGCATTGGCGAGAACACTTACGCCGCCGACGCCTATGCTGTCGCATGTTCCGAGGAACAGTTCCTCTCCAGTCTCAAATACATCGTGCAGCAGGCGATGCCTTCTCGTCTCGGTCAGTCCGATGACATCGTACTTGATCTTACTAGCTTGCATCACCAGATCTTCTATACACGCTTCCGATGCAAGCGTCAGTGCGTTAAAAGTACATATCGTCATCTTAGTCATTCTTCTTTTGGGCAGTCTTTTTTGGCCCTGAGATTTGAGGAGCTTCTCCCGAGCGGCCCTACCCAACGCTGGGGGCTCCCTCAGGATCAGGAAAATGAGGCCCATTCCTATTACTGTTTTTGACGTGTAGATACCCAACGTGCAGCTTGCCAGGCTCTGACGTGGGGGCTGTTGACTCCGGAGGCTTGCCAGGCTATTCCGAAGTGGACGAGGGGCTTGGTTTTTAGAGACGGCCCAAAATCGCCTCCCACATACTTCCCAGTCACTCGAATGCAAGCTCGTGGCCGAGTAGATGAGCAGGATACCAACTGACCCACAGGACACACACGTATGCGTGAATCGTCTGCGAGAAACAGAGGGTACATCGACCCAGCAACGCAAATCAAGGGGTCCATCCCCTGAATCCATCTGCGCCTCTAGAAAAGTACCGGTGACTTTTGGTCGGCGATTAATTCCCCTATCCGCCTTCTGGGGACGCCCTACGTAGCCTCGTCACTAATTTTGCTAATTATTCTGGAAAAAGTTGGGCTCTCTTTCACAACACAAATTACAACTTTGCTCTTTTTGTTTTTCAGCCTTTTTTATCAGGACCTCGACCCCGCCGCCTAAAGAAAGGATATGCAGAATTGGATGACCATACTTTCCTCAAGTGCTGCCAAATTACTGTATGCAATGTGCGGCCACATTTGCTGTTGAACTTCACCAAAAACATGTCTATTCTTCTCAAGCTAGCACGGTAAAACGCACGGATAGGGAAATTTTTTCTGTTTATTATTGAGAGTGAGCATTAACGGAGTAGCTCGCAAATGTCTCGTCGATATAAATTCTTCACCCAGCAACCTCGATGTGTCTACAGTATCTTCTGTGGAGAGTAGGAATAGCCATCAATCCTTACATCATCCCTTGGTGGCGTTTCGAATCGAATGCATTCCATGTCGAGGCTTCCAACACATTTACAGTGCGCTTCTATAGCTTCATAACGCGGATCAAAAGTCACCTGAAAAATCTTGATAAGCTATGCTGTGTACGCAGTATCAGAGTGATACAATTAAAAATCCGGTCAGAAGCTGTTTAGAGGCTCCTGAACATTCAGTAATGGTTAGTTTTCACGAGACTGCTCGGTCTCAATCGAATCCTGCGCTCGGTCTCAATCGAATCCTGCTCAAGACAACAGTGCCCCCAAGTTCTATTTTTTCAGTTTCGCTCATTTGTCTGGTTGCCAAATATCTTGCTGAGAGAGTGGCAATTATAGAGCTTTCACCACTTTTAACTCCTTACTGGCGGGAGGGGGGAGTGGGGAAGGCGCTTATTCTAAACAGGCTTAAGCATGAAATGAATAAGTAGGGAATCATCAGAGTTCACGCTCGATGATCACCGCTTATCCATTTCATGCAGACATCATCACATAAGGACTCGGGGTAGGACAATTGAAGGGCACGTCCACGATAATGACATCGTTCTGATAGCGGAGAGTAGGAAAGGACCCAAATACAGGGTGCAGAAAGAGCAGAACAAGCTGGCGTAAAATGGACTCCAACTGATTATAGAAAAGACCAAGTTCCGAAAAGTGCGCAGAGCCAACTATAAGTTGCGTTGGAGAAGCCATCGGATGTGCGCGAAATTTTCGTTATTTGGAAATAGACTTGAAAGCTGACGGTATGTGTACTTGACTGTAAAGATTTGAATAAGCGGAACATGGACGGAAGAGTCTGAGTCCAGTGGTATCCCTTGTGACCAGCGCTGCTCCTGGATGCTTGAAGAAAATATAGTATTGGGTTGTAACATAAATTCGTAGAGTTTTGCGTTAAAGTTATTTTACAACGAGTTATTTTGTTTTTTAGCAAAGTGTATACATTCATTTGAAAGAGCTCTTTCTCCTCTACAGAACTGTTTTATTCGTTTTTAGGATAATTATATTGTTCGTCTTTTTCCGGCTCAGAAATGGAATATCCAGGAAGAAAAAATTAGCATTTTCGACATCTGCTTTTCTTTGCTTCTCGTCGAGGTCAAAAAAGCAGCCGAAACCGCTTGGGACATATGCAGTGTGTACGGGGAAGGTGTCTTAGGTGTGTCTACTGAAAGGTGTGGGTGGCCCCAGGGAAGGCGCCAAAGCCGAGAGTCAAGCAAGATCTTCACCAAAAAATGGTCATGATCTGCATTTGGTGGACTGGGTAGGCATGGTGCACTGGGAAACTGCTCGAACGAAACGCCACTGTCAACAAGGAGGTCTACGTTACCCAGCTGAACAGTGTAACTGAGGCTATTCGGCTGAAAAGACCTTATAGAGGTGGTCAAGTCATCTTGCTCCACGACAACACCAGGCCCCATATTTCTCAAGTCGTCAAAACAGCACTCCATGAGCTTGAATGGGGGGTTCTTCAGCATCCACCGCACTCTCCGGATCTTGCACCTGCCGACTATCACCTTTTCCGCTCTATGTTGAACCCAATGAGGAGTGTTACCTTCGATGGCGAAGGACACCTTAAAAACTGGCTCAACAAATTCTTCGACACCACAACGGCCGATTCTCGGCGAATCGCCATCAACAAATTGGTCGAGAGATGGGAAGAGGTCGTGAGCAGTAACGGAGGATACATCATTGGTTAATTTATTATTATAATTATTGTTTTTTGGTTCAGATAAATCTTCGTGAAAAAACTCTACGGACGTATGTTACAACCCAATAGACAAGAGGTGAGGAACATGTTGCTCTGTGGACAGTACTGACCGGTATGCAGTAATCTCGGAAGGCAACATCATTCCGGACAAATTAAAATCTCGATTCGGGCCTGCGGTTGGACACCACTGGACCAGGTCTTAAGCAAAAACGACGACGACGTCAATGCAAACAACTCCTGACTAACTAAAGATGAGAGATCAGCGCCTGCGCACTGCGAAGAGCGCAAGGCCATTTGATATTCGAGCAAAGAAATTTGAAGTTCAAAAGAGGGACTAGGAGAAGCATCAACAAATGTATCGACAAGGACCTCCTCAAAACCGAATGCACAGCAGAAGATACTGTAAGTCGAAGGAAATGGGGACGATTAGACAGACCAATGGACGCGACAGGCGGTATTAACGCAGAGAGTAGGGAAAAAGAAAGAAGACGTTTTCAAGAAGCGTCATATTTATGAAGGCAAGAACTTCTCAAAAACTGCTTAAGCGCCACGTTAAAACTATAGCTTTGGGGGTATTAGTATTCCGATGGGAATGCACATGTTGGCCTCTGCAATCTCCCAGACATAACATCTAGTTTGCAAGATTTTACCTTCAGGTATTTTGCTATATTCGACTATCTTGTTTCTGCGTACATTCTTCATGACCGGCATCAGCCGAAAAACCATCCCCTAATTGTAAGCCGATGGCAGCTATTGGAACAGTATGAATTACAACTCCTATCTTCCGACTACATTTTCAAACTGCTGTGTTCTCTACATGGAAACATCGCTGAGCTCGACATACCTTATTGAGCTCTCAGTCTACTTCTGCAGCGGCACGGTGATTTCATGTGTGAGCGATCTGAATTGATTTCCTCTCGACCTTTACACCTATTGTCATGAGCAGCAACACGACCCTAGTGAGTTTTCAAGTGAGCAACTGGGTTGTTTCTTCTTAGAAACTATTACCTCTTCTACCCAATTCTTTTGTTTTCATTATCATACTCTTCAGACGTGACTTTACTCTTGAAGAGTTCCTTCTATTTGTCAATGCATAGAGGTATACATGTTGGGCTTATGAAAAGTCTCCGCAGTTTTCCGCCACAAGTCGATTCTGGCAATATATGCTGAAATGTAACATTCCAGCTCACATTTCTGCCAACTCTGATTCGCCGTTCGTGTAAACATTGAAACAATCCGCAAATGAGTTGAACATCCGAGCAAATACGGTATATGACGTTTTTCGACTACAAATAGGCAAAACCATTGCAAGAACACGCATCCAGTGTGCATTCCGGACCACGCGCCGTCTGACTGTCAATTGTTTCAATCTCTGTCAAGCTACCTTAATTTTAAGAAATCGTGCGACCAAAGCGTCGCTAGGAGTCACTCGGCAAGTTTTTCTCCAATGGACCGCTGCACTTCTACACCAATGTAATCATGAAGTTTCCATATAAATAGCAAAAGTACAAAGATAACAAAAGTCAATATGTTCTTCACGTAATTTATTTCCAATGAGAAACGGTTTGTACGGGAAAGTTGCAGTCCTTTCACACGACTTGAAACCCTGTTTTAAGAGATTTTTTTCCAATTCCTAATGGTGCGCTGCAGTCAAGAATCCCCGCGCGTGGAAGCAATTCAAATCGAAGTCTCCGTGTAGCATTGCAACACCGTCTCGGGAGTACAAGGTAATGCGCCGTTTAAGGCGCCGTGGGCCACTTGCGTAGTGTAGCTTCGCCACGACGTTGACAGAATCGGAGCGTATGGGCCTGTAGCCTGTCGCGATATTCAGCATCGCCTGAAGAAACTCCGCTCACGAGAGGTGGGGCATGAAGCGGGAGGGTGGTGATAAGAAAGAAGCTCCTTAATTCGGTTTCACAAAAGCGAGAAGTTGGGGAAAGTGGGCAAAACTGATAGATGGGCCCCTCATACGCTATTCCTCTGAGGCCTAGATGCTAGAAAAAATTTAAGAAGTAGTAACGACTGACCAGTGAAGCGTTTTAACTTATCATGGAGCTTCGGATAGAGACCTAGGCACATCGGTAGAGTTTCTAATGATATTTACATATTTAGAAATCAAAACTGCTAAATGAGTCTACCAAAGAAGTTATGAGCCTTCAAATTTGCATGCCTAGCGCATGCAGAGCCCCTCTCCATGTTGATATAACTTCTTAATAGAATGGCAAGATTCCGGTTGTGAAGTTGTTGTATAGCTCATGAAGCACTCTTACAGATTCAGTAGGAACACCGTGGTCGCCCAAGGCTCCGACTACCACTTCTGTCTCGACGGTATCAAAGTCTTTCTCCACATCGATGAACGTAAGACATAACAACGTTTTGTACTCTAACGATACTTCGATTAGCCTTGTTATAGTGTGGCTGTGAGCTATTTTACTGAACCTTCTCCAAAACCCTGCTTGCTCGCATAGCTATCCTTCATCTAATGTTCTGCCAATCCTGTTAAGCACGACGCGTGTGAAAAGTTGTAGAATATAGACACCAGGCATATTGGGCAATAGTTGCCAATGTCGTCGGGAACTCCTTTCTTGTGCAGCAACACAGTCTTGCTAGTTTTCCACAACGTGGGCAAGTGCCGCGTGAGGAAACTAGCCAGAGTTCCGACGATCACTAAAGGAGGCTCTTGAGATGTTCTGGTTTGATCCCATCGGGACCAAGCGCCGTACCACTCTTCATCGACTTGGCAGCATATCGAATTTTGGAAGGGAGAACCGAAGGAGCCATGAATCCGTCTTGCCCAAGATGGTGAGTAGGCAGGTAGACGTGGCTGTCGAAGAGATACAAGTTAAAGTGTAGATGACCTTCTCCATTGCCCTTCAAGATGCAGTAACTGTTCCATCGGGACGACGAAGGGAAGTCATCGTGGTCATGTAATTGGCAAAGCTCCGTCGGGCTTTGCGAATGCTCTTTCCGGCCTTGGCGGCTTCGTCCATAACTGCTGCTCTTCTCTCTATCAAATCTTCGTTCATCGCTTCTCTGCATAGCTTCGCAAAGTCCGGAAATTTATTGATGATTGCCTGCAGCTCTCGCGATTCTACTGTGGCATATCAGCTCGAGGACCCTCGAAAAGGGTCGTCTCTTGACTTCTTGTAGACTCTGCTTTCCTAGCACTATCGTTAAGATGTTCGAGAGACGAGAGACGAGCCGGTTGTACTCTTCATCGACGTTGTCGATGACGGCACCTTCCCATTCACTTGCAAGGGAAGCATAGGGATCCTAGTTGATAGAGGCCTTGAGGCTTCATTTCCTGAACTTCATAGCTCTCTCTCTCCACGCACTGAGTAGGGCGGAGGAGATAGATGGATTAATCCCGTGTAGAACTTCGGAACAACAGCGAGGTTAGTCAGGCAAACTTTTCGATCAGAGATGATGTGGGCTATTCCATTGTGAAACTGTCCACCAGGTAACTTCCGTGTTCATCGCAAATTGGAGGGCTTCTGGAACTGCGAGTTACCATTGATCATGTGGGTCGACGTGAATGCAGCGGCAAGAAAGAAATTCAGAAACAAAAGAACTAACAGTAGAGTCATGTCATAAGTGATAATCGCATAGCAGTTGAGCTCTATGAAGAATGTTAGAACTGTCATAACGATGCAAATGGCCTTCCACCCCACTCATTCCATTCCATTCCGCGAGTTCCGAGGAGGAGCCCCTCAGCCATTTTTTTTGGGGCCAATCTTGGTGTTGAAATCACCGACGATGACTTGAAGAAAGTACAGTCTTTTCTCTGTAGGCCTCTCCAGATAAATATAAAACGCTTCCAAATCCTCTTGATAGTAGCTTGATGTTGGTGCGTAGGTAAAGAAGATTGTTAGAGCTGCGGCTGAGCCGCATCTTCTTGATCGCAAACGTCCGATTCGGGTTGTCAAGCTTTAGTACGAATCGATGTTCATAACAGCGTAAATATTGACGAGGAAAACTAAACTACGCCGCCGACGCTTCTGCTGTCGCGTGCTCCAAAACAGTTCAGAACTCCAGTCTGAAATACAGCGTGCAGCGGGCGATGCCATCTCGTCTCGGTCAGTCGGATGATCCCGTATTTGATCTCCCTAGCATGCTTTAATAGGTATTTTATACACGCTTCCGATGCAAGCGTCCGTGCGTTGAAAGTACAGATCGCCATCTAAGTCGTTCTCATTTTGGGCAGCCTGTTTTGGCCCTGATATTTTAGCAGCCTCTCTCGAGCGGTCCTACCCCCGTGTTGGGGACTCCCTCAGGTTCAGGGAAATGATGCCCATTCATATTGATGCGTAGCTTGCCAAACTCTAATGTGGAGGCTGGATTGACTCCGGGTGTTAGCCAGATGGTCCCAAAGTGGACGAGGGGCTTTGCTCTTGGAGGCGACCTCGAATCGTCTGCGAGAAACAGAAGGTATATCGACCAGCTCAGCAGGATCAAGGAGTCCATCTCCTGAATCCATCTTCGTCGCTGAGCACGTACTGGCAACTTTGAGTCCCCTTTTCTTCACCGATCTGCCACGTGGGGACGCCCTATGTAGCCTCGTCGCTAACAGGCTGGGATCCTTCAGTAAGAAAAACTCTCGGTTAAAGGAGGTCCTTAGACTTGACTTGAAGTCTTGTAAGATATGAAGAGGACGAGTTCTTTAAGACAAAGGCTCTGCCTCATGAGGAACGGGCTAGAGCTGCTAATTAATAGTGACACATTGCGAAATGAATCGGACACACTGCAATCGCAGCTTGAATTAGTTATCAAAAGCGGAACAAGAACATTTTTTTTGAGGAAAAGCACATTATGCAAAAGCTAGCGCGGCGTCGGGATGCAAACCCACATCACTCACCTGGAAGGGGATCACTGCCACTGCCCCACGGCGACCGTTACGGCCGTTGCGGGCAACGCTACATTTCGATTGGCCCTGTCTCTCCATGCATTGAGCAAGCAAACTTTGAGAGCTTACAACTTTTTGGTGGACCCATTTAGCAGTACTAAGTTCTACATTTATTATTAGCATTGGAAACTCTATCGATATACTCTATCTCTATCCAAAGCTCCATGAGAAGTTGAAAACCCTTCCCTGGTTAGACCATACTATTCGCGTTTCTAGCGCTTATGCCTCCAAGGAATCGACGCATGAATTTCACCAAGTATTGCCTGCCGTAGGTAGTCCCTCTTTGTACGGTTTGCTAACTCATGCATGTTTGCAAATTTTTTCGCGATATCTTTCTCTACTCGAACCAAACAGGGAGTTTGCCCTTGTCACCACCCACCCAGCTTCATGCCTCACCTCTCGGAGCGGAGATTCTTCAGGTGGTGCCGAATTTCGTGACAGACACGGTACAGACCAATACGCTCCGATTCTGTCAACGTCGTGGCGAAGGTTTTTCTATTTGAACTCACATTTGGGCTTCCATAAACGTTGGGGTGGTTTTAAATTGATGTTTTTCGCATAGAACTCTTACGAGTTTGTTATGAACGTTTATTAGCTTAATGTTTCGGCGATATCGCCTTCCTCAGAAACTGAAATGGATAAAGAACAATTTGTGAGTATTTGTTATTAGGTCTAAGGCGTTTGATTTTTTCTTAAATTGTTCTTGATCAATTTCAGCTTCTGAGAAAGGTGATATCGCTGAAACGTTAGTTAATAACTTTTATGACAACCGTTCAAAGGAAAACAGCATATATTCGATTTCTTTCCAAGCACGTGGATGTTTCAATAGGGGCTCGTGGATGTATGTATGTATGTATGTATGTATGTATGTATGTATGTATGTATGTATGTATGTATGTATGTATGTATTTTATTTATTTACTTATTTATTTAGTGACATGTACAGTCAGTACATGAACAGGTAACACATCCTACTCCAAAAACAAATCACATAAGTAATCAGCATCCAAGGAAACAAGGTAGTAAAAGGCAACTGATCAAGCAAAAGCCAATGGAAGAGAAATAATACCTTGTGAAACTTCCACCAATGCAAAACTAAAATGAATCTAATCAGTGTAGCTCTCAGCCAAGTATTGTTTCAGTGCTCTTTTGAACTGCGACAAGGTTTTAGTCAGGGGGTATTTCTTGACAAATTCACGAAATTTGGAAGATGCCCGATTGACAAAGAAATTTGCTCTAACCTTGGATCTAGACCTGGGAAAGTATGGCTTCAATTTATTCCCACGAGTATTCGATGGTTGAAGAGTGAGAGCTCCCCATAAATCAACAACTGATCTCCCAGTGAGCATTCTAAATAACATAACCACATCCTGCTTCTTCCTTCTACCAAGAAGCGACTCGATTCCGAGCATCCTATTTCTTGCAGCTGCTCTAGGGATAGATTTATAACAGAAGCCTTGTGCCCGAGTCAAAACTTTCCTTGTAAACTATTCTGAACAGCTTCCAATCTAGCAGTATCCTTTTCAGTTCGAGGGGAGAATACTTCCTTCCCATATTCGAGAATCGGGCGCACATATATTTTGTAAGCTTTTACGAGTATGCCGGGGTCCCTAGTATATAGGCTCCTCAAAGTTGAAAAAGCCTCTTCTCGGCTTTATTTGCTACCCTCGTACAATGAGAATCGAACATCAGTTTATGATCAATTATAAAGCCCAGGTCTCTCATCTCATTTACCTCATTGAGCTGATCACCATCCATTAGATCTCTTCATTTCACATTGTGTAAGTGTTGTAGTGGGGGCCAAAACCCTACAATATGGTTCCCGTTCGATAACAGGATTCCCGTATTCATTGTAGCTCCCGATTCCCTTTCGTCAACTTGGCGTCAACCGCGGACTTCTGTGGAGAAACGAATCAGATTCGCTTTGAACGCGTCTTTTTGCTGAAGGATCCATGAGCATTGGGCTTGGACTATGGCTATGGAAAGCTGTCACCCCTAAAGGAAATCATTCAAGTGCCAGCTTACCAGGTTAATGACTAGATGAAGGGTTTGGGCGATACTCGTTCCCAACATACGACCCCTTACATTCCGTCCTGTTATGAAGGGCTGGCAGGACACGATCAAAAAGGATATTGCTAAAGTCGCGGTTACTGCTGATCGTGAGGAGAGAAGGAAATAGAGATGATCAACCAGAACAGTGGACAAAAACCCTTCAACGGCGCGAAATCAACGCTAGGGTAAGAAACGGTGAAGTCATCGGAATTACATGCGCCTTTCATCAGTTTCGACGGAGTCCGGTCAAAATAAAACAATAATCAAACCATCACTGTCCAAATCGTTCGAAGGATTGTATGGAGTGTGCAGTGTCCATACAACACTTGAAAACAAGATGATGGGAGGGGAGCTTCTGGAAGTGTGAAGCCTGGAAGCTCCTTCATTGATAGTGCTCCACACATCAAATTCTAACGAAGTGCAGAGGTTATGGGTGGTCCTGGTCACGACCATGACCAGTCAGGCACTTGCCTTGGCCCTGGTGGAATATGGAGCTAATCTGGAGGTGGCAGCATAAAATGCAAAAACGGCAAAGTCCAAAGGATCCGAATCATCGACCCAGCCTAGCCGTCCCAACTCGAAGTCCACATCGCTATCCGCCACACCATCCGTGGTGCCAGCTGCCAGCAGCTCCACCGTGGAGAGCACATATGAAACTTCCCTGCACTTTTCAGCATTTTTCAACATGTGGCTCACTTTTCTGGCTACTGTTTGCGTTTTTTTCGCCTTCGCCTTCTACTGTGCGGACAGTCGACGCCATGAATGAAACAAACGACGCTCAGTGGGTTAAAACGGCAGTTTCTGACAAAATCATTTTCACTCCTTTTTTGGCATTCAGAAGGCCATTTAGCGGAAATGGACCATGATTTTATACTTAGTGCTCATGCCCCTATACCGTGCAAAAACCATTTTCAAAAAGCGTCTCACACCCTAAAAGAGATTCCTTGTGAGTTTCCACCTCCCCCCCTACCCCATGATGGGAGTCGGCATTTAGTTCCACGGTTCCACACTTCTAATTACTTCGCACCTTTCTCGCGCATCCACTCACTCGCCTGTGGGGTGACCTCGCTTAATTAGTTGGCTGTGACCTCTCTGGCAGTCTGAGTGAACTGATATTGATCCTATGGATCGATAT